TCCAGGCGCTTGTGATGCAGGCACCCGAGTCCTTCTCACAGGCAGTACATGACCAAGGAGGCGCAAGACTTGGAGCAATCACAGGGAGACGTGCATTGTTGAGACAAGTGCATACAACAGTGAGTGGCAAATATGAAGGTGGAGGTCAGTTGGTGTGCTACATCTCCAATGTGGGTACCAATGTTGTCCGCATTCCCTCAGGATGTCATTTCGCCAATGTGCTTTGTGGTGAGCGGGAGTTTCTTGAACCTTCTTCATCAAAAAACGCTTAACTGCCCCGGAGGAATTAACATCCGGGGCTCTCACTAGTGTTCCTGCACAATTAGAAGTGGATTTCACTCATGAATTAGAGCATAAATTCTATCCATATATGAGAAATGGATGGGTGGTTTTTCGTTTGTGCAAGAGCATTGTGATCGGACCAAATGAGACGAAGTCAGTTCATTTACCATTCAGAATACATGAAGTGGGCTCATTGAGATTTCATGATTGCTTGAGTCATAGCACCGTGAGGGCATGGGCCAAAGTGAGGCCAAACGGACAGATGATTGTATTGCTGCAGAACTTGGGAATGGAATCAGCTCATGTGCCACCGCGCTCAGTTGTAGTTATGATTCGTACTGTTCATTGTGTTTGTCGGGATGATTGTGGTGTTGAGGTCAACTTGGAAGGCCAACAACAGAAAAGAGGACAACCTCTCAATACTATGGCACATGGGGATGGATTGACGATAGAGAAGCTAAAAATGATGTTTCCTCGGGTTTTCGACCTTAGCCTAGAATCAGTGTCCCAGATCACAGAACCTATGCAGGCAATGTCAGTGGGTATGTAAGACGTACATTGGAAACCAGGCACTGCCAGATTCACAAGTTCAAGCAAATATCAGACATATTCGGAGTGTGATCGGAAGGCAGTTGAAGACTTCACAATGTCCCAGATCAGCAGGAAAATTGTGAGTGTAATGCCAGATTGTATGAAGGGCTTTTTTTCACAAAGCTTATTCATCCCTAAAAAAAGTGGGAAACCGCGGTGGGTCGTTGATTTTCGATGGCTTAATGCTATGCTTTGGGCATGGACATCCCCTCTGTTGCCAACAATTCAGGTGGTGAAGAAGATCCCCGAAGAATGGCGCTACTATACCGTGATTGACCTTGATAACGGGTTTTACAGTGTGCCCCTACAGGAAGACCTCAAACAGTTTTTCTGTTGCGAAGTGTTTGATTGGCGCTTACTTTTCAACAGATTGCCTCAAGGATGGTCAAGTTCTGCATGCATCTTTAATGATATTGTGAGGCGATGCATACGAGGGCTATTGCGATGCCTGCACTATCTTGACGATTTGATTACAGGAGGAGCTACTGAATTGGAACATGATGAGGCAGTCATCGCTTTGTTTCGGCGCCTTGATTACTATGGGTTCCATGTGAATGCAGAGAAACTACAATTCAAAAAAAAAGAGGTGGTGTATTTGGGTTATAATGTGCGAGGGGGGACTGTGAGCATGGAAGATTACATATCCAGGCAGAAGGCCAAACTTCCTCAAATTCGAACTCGTCGGGACTTACAGAAGGCATTGGGAATTGCCAATCTTTTGCGGCCTTTTGTACCAAGATTGGCAGAAACACTTGCGCCATTTTATCAATACACTCGACAAGGGGCTGCAGTGAGGTGGGAACAAGTGAACCATGATTTTGCAGATGTGTGGGCTAAGAGCATCGGGAATTGTCTTGCTCTCACAAGAAATCAAACAGGAAAGTCTGCACAAGAGGCTGTCTATACCCTCTATACATATTGGAGCAAAACTGGAGCGGGATTTGCCTTGTATTACTGTGGGCGATTAGTTTGGTTAGGCTCTCGCACTAACACCTTTTGGCAAGGGAATGTTTCCTCATTTCTTGGGGAATTGGCAGCAATCGTATGGGGTTTGCGTGAAAGCATGTGGCTGATTAGAGGTGCACGGGTAACAGTGCGAACGGATTCATACGCCAGCATGTTGCGATTGAATAACGGGGCTTCTTGGGTGCGCGAAAAGGATTCCCGAGTGTTGCAATTGTTTGGGTGGATTTTGGGCAACTTTGCACTAGGGAGCCATTTGACGTTTGAATTTGTGCCTGGCAATTTGAACCACATTGCTGACATACTTTCACGATGGGGTGAGCGACAATGTGGGAAGTTGTCCAAATTGTGCACCATGCAGGTGCCCAATACAGTATGGAGACTATGCCATCGTGGGCACTATGGATTAAAGAAGACATGGTGGCGATACAAACGTCTTGGTCTTCAGGGTGTTTCATATACAGCCATGGAAGCCAAATGGAGGAGGTGCCTAGCGTGTCAAGCCTTCCGTCGTCGAGCCTATTCAGATCCATTGGGACACATTGCTGAAGCTACAAAGCCAGGGGAGTTGGTGTCGATAGACTTCATCGGGCCTCTTTAATGGACAAGTCAAGGTCATCGATACATAGCAGTGGTGATAGATCATCTCACAAGGGTATGCGCTGCTCAGAGCTGCAAGACATGTCGAGCTGAAGATTTGATTCAAGCAATGCAGACATGGGTGAATACGAGAGGAGTACCGAGTCGACTGATGTGCGATCATGGAGCGGCAATGATTTCGTTTGATTTCGCCAATTGGTGCATGTCTTATCAAATTCAGCGGATTTTGACTGTGCCATACATGCACAAGTCCAATGGGCTTAATGAATGCGTTCATGGAACGCTTGAAGGGCGTATTAAGCGAATCATGTATGCCGAAGGGATTACAGATTGGTTTGATGTACTCGATGAATCGGTGACAATAGTGAATGACACTATTCACGACATCACAGGATTTGTTCCTAATGAATTGTGGAATGGATCAGCGATGCAGTGGGCACAAGCAAAGCAACGTACTCAGAAAGCCAGAAAGCGAGCAAATACAAGACTAGAGTCCAAGCGGGTGACCCGGACGTATCATGTGGGGCAGAGGATATGGGCATATGATTTTGCCAGGAAAGAGCGACACACAAACAAATTTGCCCCGCTATGGATGGGAACGTGGACTTTAGAAAGTCGAGTAAGTAGAACGGTCTGGAAGGCGCGCACACATCGCAACCAGGTGCGATTGGTGCATACTGACGGTATCCAACCGTATGTCCCAGGGTGAGGTACCCCTACGTTAGGGGGAGAGGCAAGCATTAGTTATGGATGGGTTCAGGGATATTTTGTGTTGAGTTTGGATGTGTGCCCGAATGATCGGGGTGAATACATGTGATGTGCTGCGGTGTGATCCGTGATGTGTTTTGTGTTGGTTATTCCACGTCGCTTTGTGAATGTCAGGTTGGGTATGTGTGAGACCATTAAGAGGGTCATTTTTCTACGTGTGGGTAAAGCAGTGGAAGCATGTGACAGTAATGATATGATGTGCGATAATGTGATATGAAAGGGGGGTGACGGGACACCATCGGACGAGTGGGGATATGGGCGCATGGCGTCGCACCTGTAACAACCCTTTGTTCCTGTCCACGGATCGCACGCCGTGCGGGCGTTGGCGCTACACCGGCTCTTTGGCTCTTTCAGCCGACCGCCCGAGGCCGCGAACTACAGCCCCCGCTTGATGGCGCCCGATACGCGCCCGATACTGCCCGATACTGGCCAATCCTGGCCCCCCGCGCACCCCCACGGGTGCCAGGTTGAGTCGTCTGGCGGCAGTACACTCGATTGGCTCCCCACGTGGCCCCCGCAGCTCCGCCCAGCTCCGCCCTCCGTGCCCCCTCGGCCTCGAGGAGCAGCGCGTTCACTCCCCCGAGCTCCCGCGACCGAGCTCCCCGCGCAGGTTGGGATCTAGCCTCCCCCTCCGTAATCCTGCTGGGTCACTTTTCCTCCGGAGCGCGAAGATCGGCCGTGCGGCTCCGTGAGCCATGGCCGTTTGCGGCACTCGCGTCCGGCCGCACGAAAATGCGGCGCATTCGCTGCCTTCACCTTCCGCTTGCATTCTACCCGGACAGACTGCAAGGCCTCTCCCCTTTCCATGTTTTCCCCCGGCTACATTTAGTCCGCCGTGCTGAGATCGGCATTCCGGTCGGATGGATGGGATGTGCCTCCCGCGGCCCCATGGCTATCCCTCGGTCGCGCAGCGCAATCGTTTGGCATTGCTCCGATTTCTCAACGTGGAGCTTCTTGGCGTGTTCCTCTGAGCCACTTGGCCTGGTTTTGCCGCACGCGCATGGGTTTCCGAGCCGTTCCGGGCGGCGGGGAGTCGACGGGTGGAGCTCCAGTACATTGCGGCGAGCGGCACCTTGCTGGTGTTTCCATGGTCCTGCGTGGGTTTCTATACATTGCCCAGCGTTATGGATGGAGCTTCTGGCCTGCTTCGAGCCTACGGTGGCTATGCTGACAGGTCCTGTGGCGTCCCAGAGCGTCCTGGGTCCCTGTGGCGTCATTCCGGTTGCAGGGAGGTGGTGTCACTGACGCTCTCAGTCATCCTGGGCTAAGTCTGGGCCACTTGCCGCTGGTCCTGGGCCTCACGGGGCGCCAGCTGAGTGTCATCAATTGGGCTTTGTTATTGTCTATAATGTAATCTTTCTGCGTTAATTAGCGCCCCGAACAGCGACTATTGTGATCAAAGCGTGCTAATGGTCAAAACAGGATCCACGCTATTCTTCACCGTGTATTATTCGCCACCATTATCACTTCTAATATTGAGGCATCCATTGTGTGGCGTATCCCCTTTCTGTCCGCACACAGCTGTCAGAGCAGAGCGACGCAAAATGGGAGTGACGACTATTTCAAAGGCGCCACGAGAGGGATCAGAGAGGGACCTGAACATCTTCAAACGGGTCAAAATCCCCAAAACCGATCCTTGGCCTGAACGGCCTGGCCATCCCGGACTGCAACAGCATCATGAATTGGTTCGACATTACATGCATTTTGCATGTAGCAACATGTCGTCAGCTCACGCGCCCTGTGCCGTAACTTGCACCACTGCAACAGTAAAAGCAAAATCGACCCTGTCCCAGAACCTATGGGGGCAAAGTGCCGCCAGCGTGACCAAGAACATCAAACCCAAGATCCTTCAATTGTTCCTGAATGCAGCTGGCCAAGTCCTGCATGCTCCTGCTGCCATTTAGTGGTGGTGTTGCAACAGTAAAGGACTCGGTGTCTCCTGATCGAAGCCCAAACACACAAACACAAGGCTTGTAGTGTCACTGGCGCCAACAACGAAAAGCGCACAAGGTCAATGCTGTCCAAAAGGGGCCCTTCTGTGCACAATATATTGGGCAGGCCATTGTCTGCATGGGGACACAGACTATGCTTACGTATTGGATTGGTGAGAAAGTTGAACCAGCCAAAAGGCTGAGTCCATGTCGCGTTGTTGCCAGCCCAGATTCTGCGCTTCTATCACGTCTAGCATCCATGCAGCCACTGTTGGACAAGTTTTTGTTCAGTGCACTGAGCAGGTACTACTAGTGGCACCTGGCAGATATGCTGAATAACTGCTGACTATACGTTGTTCATTGTTTGCATTGTTACTGCCTGGATGATTTCTCTCCTGCCCCCAAAGATTCCCATTGTTTTGTTCATGCCAAGAATGCAGTTTTAAATTTGGTCGCCGGCTATCAGTCTCAAGTGTGGTTCTGAGATCGGTTTCTTCAACGTATGACGTACTTCTTCAGTCACTTCTAGACGACTGTAGCAAATGTTCCCTTCTTTGCAGCAACCCATAAACAAATGCAACAACACACAGCAAGAAAACGCTGACACGTAACATCAGCAATGCGTGGTATACACAGTAACATAGTAATGGTGGGTTTGGTCCACCCAGGTCCCTTGCTTAAAGGGCCCTTTTTCTCCTTCCTTCGCTAGTCTGTCTCATCTTGTTATTCCTTTTAAGGGAGATATGGACCCAGCAGTGGGGCATCGTACATGAACATGGGGGCTGTTGGTACATATTGCACGGATCAATGTCAGGTAAATATATTGGCCGAGGTGCCAGACCATTGTTCCATATGCCGTGGGCCAGTAGCTTGACGTTCAAGTGTATGTGCACTTGCAGTGAACAGCAACAACACACTCATCTTTTGCTCATCCCATCGCGAATGCGAAGTTCCAAGACATTGCCTGCTTGTAGCTGAGCATGAACTCAATTGCAATACTATGAAAATCTTGTTGTAAATGTGATACTGAAAGGTACCTGCTTTTAATGCCACCTCACCTGTCGCTTGTGCCCTGGCTGCCGCTGCGCCACTCAATGCGACTTTCATCGCTTCCTTATTAGTCATATCCATCTTGGTAACGATCTCAGACAACTGCAAGGCACAAACACAAAGACGTGAATTGCGAAATTGATGGGTTGGCAGCAGCACACAACAGGGTTTAGAACAACTTAGAAAATCCATCTCTTTGAATAGCCTGCTTGCTTTCCTGGGTGCTACCAATGAGGAAAGGCAATAGCAATGCAGTCGCTGTCCATGACGGTGGCAAAGAGGAAGCAGTGTGGACCTGGAAATGCATACGGAAAGCCAACAGATGCTTGATAGGATGATTGACAGGATGATCTTCTCGAGGGCTTGCACAGTGGGCTGCTCACAATCTGAAGATGATGCCCACACCAAAACTTCGGTTTGTTGATAGATGTCTCAAGTACAGCCCGGCATGGCATGGATCGACATTCTACTACATCCAACCCTGATGTGATGGGCCAGCGTATAGTAATGCGATGTGTGTGAAGCACTGAAACAGACAAACAGGCACGCACACACACATTTATTCAATATAAGACAATAAAGTAAGCAAACAACATGTGCAAAGGTGAAATGAATCCCTGATGTGCACCTTGTGGCGCCCCTCCTCGTCAAGAGGCACATTCAAGTTTTCATGCAGTGAAGTAACACTTGTCACAGCACCGCGCAGGACGCCCCATTCCATGCCCAACTCTGCACCTTCTTGGAACCCTGTGCAAAAGTGCACACCCCCTTCATATTCTGCTGTCAGCTGAAGCTCTTACCCTGCAGTGCACATTATGCAAGCACTCTCATAAAAACCTTGAACCAGTTCTTGCAGTGGTGACGTGAAAACAGTGCTTTCTTTGTACTGGGTACTATTCTTGTACTGGACAGTCTGCCAGGGATATGCACATCATGGGCATCAACTCAGTTCAGCATGGGATAATGGAAAGTGAAACAGGCAGGCCCTGGCTGATGGCACACTGTGTGGATTTTCGGGATCTCCCGCGCAGCACATTCGGCTGCCTGTTCTCTGTGCCTGGGAGTGCAGTTCACTGATGGGACAGACACACACAGCACCCTGTTGTGCAACATGAGTACAACAAGGTGCTGAGTCTTAAAGACAGAGTCTCAAGTACGCTGTGCTGTTCCCAAAGGGGTACTGCGTGAGCACCCCTCATGTTCACCTTGGTCAAAGCCCTCCTGCACACTTCTCTCCTTGCCCTCAGCCACACCATCCCTGAAGCCAGCCTGCAGTCAGCAACACACCCACACAAGCATCAGCATGCCGCATTCAGCAAACCGCATTTTGCAGTGCAGCACCTTTCACTGGGGAAATTTGTTGACAGCATTGTGGGCCCACCATCGCCAAACCTGGCGCAGGGGCTTCATGCTACGGTGTGCAACAAGGGCACAACACATGAATTCCAACAATGACAGGCATCGCGCGTGACATCACCAGCTTAAGTGCAAGAAATTTCAATGCATCAATTCTGTCAGCAATCGCAGTTCCCTAGAGGTCGATCGTTACAAATTCTGATCAAAATACCACTCGACTTGTTATCTGGATGGTGCCCAGAACACTACGCGATGCATGATTCAGTTGTGGTAACAGCCATGCAAAGGCAAACCCAGCATTAGGTTGGCTCTTTTTGTTGCATTGAATTCATTGTCTCTTGAACACAAAGGGAACGCACCATGCAAATGGCACTTCCCGAGCAAGAAAAATGAGTTGAGGCTCTATTCCATACTGTGAGAATGAGCAGCAGCCTCCAAGAGCTACAAGAGCGGGAGCAGCAGATGGCAGAACAAAGGGCCAAAAGATGAGCAAAGGGGAATCGCATGAGCAGGTTAAATAGCTGCAAATTGAATGCTGTATTGCTGCCACCCCTCCCTACTCAAGCCTCACACCCACCCACTCCTTCCCCCTTGAGAGCATGTTCTAGTGCTGCGCATATTCCACACTCTTGTGTGTTCTCAGCCTGTCTTGCGAGAGATCTGGATAAATTTTCACAGAATGGTTCCGTGCATCCTCCAACACCAGGCACCCAGGGTGCTTCCACCAAACGCAGCATATGCGCGTACTTCAGTGTGTTGGGATGAATTGTTTGTGACACTGCTTTTGCATTGCAATGGACACTGTAGAGACACGCGCCATCACCGGTGCGTAGTCTTCCCTTCTTGCTACAGAGTTCAGAAAATTAGTCAGCACCAGTCTGCCCAACGGTGCACAAGGACCTCAAAATGCGTGGAGATGGACACCCAAAGTCTCACTTCAATGTGCCAGAGATCGGCAAGAGCGTCAATCAAACTTGCACGCTTGGGCGCCACTCTTGCACACAGCCGCTGTAGAAACAGAAATCAGCGCCCACACCAAGAAAATGCACGCAAGGGGAGGCGCAAACGCCAATCGCCAGTCATCGTGCAAAGTCGCCGCATTCCCAAATCACCGTGTAAAGCCGCTCGTTCCTGCGCCTCGACTCGCGCTCCAGCTCCTCTGACTCATCCCCCTCGCCCCACACGTCATCCTCCGCCGCCGCCATGAGGCCCCCTCCCCGCCGTTTGGGCGCCTCTGAGGCGCCACGGCCCACTCGGAGGGGCAACCGCAGCCGAAAACGAACCAGGGACAGTCGGCGACAATGGGGAATTGCCGTGCATGGATGGCCCAAGTACTTGCAGGTGAGACAAAAAGTCATCATTGAAATGCACTGAGGACCCGCCATTGAAAAGGCATCATTGAAGCGTACCAAGGAGACCGAAACTCCACAGCAGCACTGCACACTGATGGGGTGAACTTGCGGTCTCCTTGGTGCATTTTGGGGAGGGCTTTTTGACAGCTGGTGCCACTCGGATGACCGAATATCACGGCTGGGACAATAGCAGCATAAATGTACTCCCCGTTCTTGTTTGCTGAGATTCGGTTCTTGTTTTCGGACACCCTAGACCCCAACCTACTGATCCACGCACCGGGACTGGCCTTGTCAGCGGAACAAGAACCGAATCTCAGCAAACAAGAACAGGGAGTAATATATTCTCGACAATAGCACTCAGTCCACCCTTAAACCCAAAAGCCAAACCTCAAGTAAAAGAAAAGAGAACAATTGAAGCACAAAGGCCACGGTGCCAACGCAGGGCACGTGACTTTACATGCGATCTACCATTCGACAATTGAAGCAGTAACAAATAAATGCGGGACGTCCGGTAATGGGCGGCTAATGCTGCCTCACGACCGGCATTGCGGCGCGTAAAGCGGCAACACCATCACCCTGTCCAGCCACATCAACCCGGCACCCCAGCCAATCGTTCCAGGCCATTCCAGTCGTCAGCACAAAAGGGGGACCCTCCGCCTTCTGCCCTCCAGTGTTCGCCCAAGTCCAACATGGCGCTGCGAGCTCTCATCGCCGGACGGCGCACGCTCTGCGCGCTCGAGGCCGCCGGCAGGCCCCTCATGGGCCTTCGCCGATTGTCGACCAGCGATGAACAGGTGGGTGTCCCGGCAATGATCGCCAATCTGCCTCTTGATTTCCAGGGGGAGGAATCCGCATTCCTTCTCCGTTGTTCCTGGTTCGCTTTGCGCCGCCTTGGGGCGGATCCTCGGCGGTTGCATCTGGTGGAGAGGGTGGGGAAACGCTCGCTGCAGTTGGTAGTATCGGGCGACGCAAGTCGCTGGTCTCGGAAGCGAAAGGAGGGGCCCCATGCTCTCTGCGTTCCTCCTCTCTGTCCCTGGCTCTTTTCACGGGCAGATCGTCGGTGATTGCATCTGTCGGAGGAGATGGGGAAGCGCCCCCGCTGCCCTTGGTCTTGGCAGGCAACGCAAGTCGCTGGTAATGGAAATGGAACGGGCTGAATTCCTTTGTCAAATTCCTGTGCTTGAATTCCGTTGTTTGAAGTCGTCTTCGAAAGGCGAAGCGGGGACCCTGCAGCTTGCAGGTGACGACGGACGTGAACACATTCGAAAACGATTTCCTGCCCGTCATCCGTTCCAATTCAAACGTAAGGGGCGTTCCCGAGATGTTGTGCGTGCCCTTCAGGATCAGGTGCTTATTGGCGGGGGCCCTGCCAATAACCACGTAGTACCAACTGATAATAGCGTATGTACCAGTTCAAACGAAAAGGGCGTACACGAGATGTTGTGTGTGCCCTTCAGGATCTGGTGGTTATTGGCGGGGGCCCTGGTGGCTATGTGGCAGCCATCAAGGCCGCCCAGCTGGGCATGAAGGTCACCTGCGTGGAGGGCCGGGGCGCCCTGGGCGGCACCTGCCTCAATGTGGGCTGCATTCCATCCAAGGTGGGGGCGCCAGATCGTCCGGAGTGTCGTCATGAGGAGCCGTGAATTATGGACAGAGATAAGGGGAATACTGATGGGTGATAGGAGGGGCATTCAATCAGTTGGCGCTGTTCCAGCCTCAGTGGTGCTGGGTGGTGGTTGCGAAGTTTCCGTGCTTTCTTTTGGGTTGTGCGGTGCAGTGGTGCGCATGCTGCTCCGTGTTGCCTGCTGAATAGCCTGCATGTTGTAGCAATAAGCTGCACATGTTGTAACTGACACAATAGCCCTGACAAGCTGGACCCCTGCATTTTGCAGATGCAGAAACATGTGCCCTGTGGTGTTGTTTCCTTATTCTGTTCTTGTTCTGTTATGTTGTTCTATTGTTGTGTTGAGTTCCTATATTTCCCCTGGGTAATACCTGCCTGTGCAAAGCCACAGTGCTGCCCTTGTGCCTCGCAGACGATGATCGGCGTGCAGGCATCCAGAACTTTTGCCTGTGCTATATTCCTGTTGCAGACGGAAGCTTCACCATTTCTGCAAGTTGAAACGCCAGAACCCATTTGTTGCCTTGTATAAGAATGAAGGAGTCCTTTGCAGCAATGTGAAAGGACACAACGGTCTAGGGGCATGTCTGACACTTTCAACTTTCAAGAGTCTGCAAGGACCTCACAGTGCTGACATAGCCGCTGTGTGTTGCCTACTATTTCTCCTGCATTTGGATACTCCTGCTCTGTATGCTAAACAATGAGACAGGGGTCTCACAGCATGCTTGGTGAGCAGAAGGTATCCAATGTATGTGTGACTGCTTGCTAGTATGTGTCTGTCCCGCCAGTGAATGCACTCCCCAGATGCAGGGCATGGACAGCCAAAGGTGTGATAAATACGTTCAGCAGCGTATACACACAGTGTGGCATGAACCAGACCATGCCAGCTCCCCTTTCGATCAGCTGTAGGAGGTGCCAGTGCGTACGTCTACCACATATTCTCCGATAAGGATACCACGCCATTTTGCTGTGTCAACATGGAATGAAAGGTTTCAGTTGCTTTAAAGAAAAATCACACATGTGTCCCTTCCCCCCAGTGGTTTGCTTGTTTGGTGTCGTTTTATGGGAAATTGCTTGTTTTGAAAATGCCATTTTGTTGAATTGTGTTTTTGGGTGTTGCAGGCGCTGTTGCAATCCAGCCACAAATTCTGGGAAGCAAAGAAGCACTTTGCCAAACATGGCATCATCACAGGTGAGGTGAGCGTCGATGTTGAGAAGATGCTGGAGCAGAAGCAAAATGCTGTCACGGGGCTGACCAAGGGCATCGAGCTCCTATTCAAGAAGAACAAGGTGCGCATGCGCAGAGCTGCTCTTACCTTGATACTTTGTTTACTTGAATCAAAACACCCTATGTTTAGCTTACATCCTCTTGTCATGCCCACTGTGGCCATGGAATTCCAGCAATGTGGAATTCGTGTATCCTTGCCTGGACAGAAAGGCAGCTGTGCAATGGGCCAGACAGATGTAAGTTCGTGCAACTTTCAGTGCTTTGTCCTGTGTATAAATGTGCAACTGTTGGCGAATGTGCCATATCGCTGTGAGTCTTCTCTAGATTCGAGGTGATCGTTTGCGCCAAGTTGCGCTGTCTGAGGACTGCTGGACGTGTGGTACATTTGATCAAACAATGCTGTACCCAACTATGCTTAGTTTTCTACTGTTTGGCTCTTTGTCGAGGATGCTTTCAAATCCTACCAACATCGTTCCGAGCAGTGTGTTGGCCTGTCACAGAACATGTTCCTCACAACATGGAAGCCTGTTACCAAGCTTAACGTGCTGTGGGGATTCTCCCTGCAGAACTTTCAAATATTTTTTGTTGCCAGCAGCATGAAGGTTCTGTGTCAAGACTTGTATGGCACATGTTTCACACCATTCCTCAAGATGTTTGTGACTGCGCAGGTGTCCTATTCAAAGGGCTGGGGGAAGATATTGAATCCTAACACTGTCGAGGTGGCATTGAGTGAAGGGGGAACAACAGCCATACCTGCAAGAAGGATTCTGATCGCCACCGGCTCGGAGGTGACGCCGATCCCGGGGGTGGCCATTGATGAAGAGAAGTAAGATGTGCGCAGATCACAGATCATGTCACTCGTTGCTATGGTGGTTTGCGGTGCCAGTGCTTTACTAAGAATGGCACGCTTTGAAAGTGTCATGCCTGCATCCGATGACAGCTGATCTCCAAATGTGCCCTCTGGCTTGAACCTCAGCTTGTATTGTGGGTAAGAAATCCGTGTCTCATCATTTCATTGTTGGGCAAGTCAAGTGGAGAGTTGCGTAGCGGCTGACTGTATCCAGTGAATCAACTTTGGCAACGACGCACTGGTCATGGCACATGCCTCTGCTGAGTCCGGACTGTCGAACAGCATTGTTAGTCTAACAGTCTACAAGTGTGAAGGAACCTCACAGTAACTGGCAAAGAACACCACAACCACTGTCATGAAAATAGATGGCTTAGGCAGCACTGACACATCGTGTTAAAATGACAGTGTGAATGCCCGTTTTTTCCGTTGCTTCAGATGGACAGTGCCAAAAGCATAGTGCCTTGGAAAAATTCATTGCATGTTGTGGACCCATTTGGCAATGTTTGGGAACGTCTGACACTTCAACAATGAACACAGGTCCTACATGTCTGTGCGCATAGTTGCAAACGACTTCTTATGGGGACGAAGGATGTGGCTCTAACATACTTAGATCGTCTCACAAATTTGCCTGCATTGTTGTGCAGGATTGTTTCCTCCACTGGTGCACTCGAGATCAAAGAAGTGCCAGAGAAAATGGTGGTCATCGGTGGTGGTTACATTGGGCTGGAGATGGGCTCGGTGTGGGGTCGCCTTGGCTCGCAAGTCACAGTCGTAGAATTCTTGGACAAGATTGTCCCCACCATGGTGAGCTTGGAAGGCTGTGCTACCAAGTTGGAATACAGCTGTTCCTGCACTGTCCATGCCCATGGCACCCAATGCACCCAGGGCATCCAGAGTTTGTATTTATGTTTGTTTGTAGACTTAGCACTCAAAACATGGCTTGTATCAGGCACTATCCTAAACTAGCAGAAACTGCCACCCTTACCGTTGCTGCAAATCTTGACATTGAGTTGCTGAATGCAGATAGAATAGGGCATGTGTGCAACCATCGCAAAGAACAAAAACAGAAAGACTGTGGAAAGAGGCGGAAAAATGTGGATTGGAAATGGCTACTTTTGTCCAGCAGCTGTGGTTGTTCGCAACCTGTGCTCTCCGCTTATTTGCACATGAAGTGTTTGGTTGTGGTTTTATACTTTTGCTGCCAACTGAATAAACAAACAGTGATTGAAATTAGTCTCTTCACTCCTGACGCCTTTGATTTGATGCTTCCAGGACTCTGAAATCCGCCGAGCATTCCAGAGATCCCTTGAGAAGCAGGGCATGAAGTTCATGCTGAAGACAAAGGTGACGGATTCAGAGATGGCGGATGGCAAGGTGAAGCTCACAGTGGAGCCTTCCCAGGGAGGCGATTCCACGGAACTTGAGGCGGATATCGTGCTGGTGTCGGCGGGTGAGAAACACCGTGCTCAGCACGTGAACTTCTCTTGTTATCATTATAGCTAGCTAATTTGTTGACTATTGAATAGTAGCTAATGTCCATTGGTGGTTATAACTTTTTGGATTGCTCATGCAATTCCCAAAGATCAAGCAGGCATTTCCATCCTGCAAACAAGATATGCAGGCCTTTTGCTGCTTCTGAAATCGAGAAATCCGATCAGTTCATTAGGTACTGTCATGTGGCAAGAATTTGTATCCCTCTCTGCCTCTTGCTGTCCCTGTTACATGAGGAACTTTCTGCATTTTTGCAGTGTTGAAAAATTCTGTACATGTTGTGACCTGGAAAGGAGCTCCACATACGGTCTATTCCCTTTGTAAAACTGAGAGCAAGAAGGAGTGCAAATGGGTAGGCGAATTCACATCATGTTTTGGTCAATCAAGCTTATGCTGGCATGTTCAACTGACGCAGGTTGCACATGTCAACAACAGTGCAAAAGAGTACCTGGCCTGACAGAAATGAGTAGCCAGACCTGCCCGAGCACAAATTACTGTGTTTCATCCATGAATGATTCAACTGCATTCCTGCTCTTCCACTCTGAATGCAAGAAGTTTCACTTCAGTTTTCTTTCATGCCATAAGCCTACAGGTACGGAAACCCCTAGGAAAGATATAGTTTCGACTTTTTCATTTTGTTTGTTTTAATTTGCTCTTGCAAATGCTGAATCTCCCTTTGTTTGTGCAGGCCGTCGGCCTTACACTGCTGGGCTGGGTCTTGAAGAAGTGGGCGTGAAGGCCAACGAACGTGGCGTCATCCAGGTGTGCTGAATTATTGAGCTGACATTGTCCACCATATGGCAATCCAGAGCTCATTGTTGATGCCAGATTTGGAGTACTTCTTGCCCCCCACCCCACCCCACCCCACCCCACCCCACCCCACCCCACCCCACCCCACCCCACCCCGCCCCACCCCACCCCAAAGAAGCGCCCTTGCTCCAATATTGGTCTGAGATTGCTGCGAAGGTGCAAAGGAGTGTGTTCGCTGTCATCTCCTTTGTCTTGTGTAGTTAAACGCGAATTTCTGTTGCAGTGTGGTGGTGATATGTGTGCAATACCACCAGCAAAATGCTCTGGATGTTGTATGCCTGTCATTGCCTGCAAGGTGCAATAGCTCCACTATATCCTTCATAAGCAAAGTTGAACAAACCAGCTTGACTTGTAGTGCCACGAACCACTATGGTTGTTTCCTTCCAGGTGGACGAGAACTTTCAAACGAACGTCCCTGGCATTTATGCCATTGGTGACTGCATCCCCGGGCCCATGCTGGCTCACAAGGCAGAAGAAGATGGCGTGGCTGCCGTGGAGATAATGAACGGTAGAGCATTTTTTCCATTCTTTTCTTAGCTTTATTTTCCACATGTGTCAGCAGCTGATGCCCTGGATTGCAGTTGTCAGAAAACAATGAGAAGCAATGCCCTTGCACCTTGTAACTAGTGGGTTTTTGGGTTGTGGCTTCCTTTTACATTGATTAGTTGGACACCTTGCAGTCATTGGTAAGGTATTTGTTGCAGTTGCATTGTCGATAGGATAGCTGGATGGACACCAAGACAATCTTAAATTGAGCAATCCAATCTCCCATTACCATTTATTGCCATTTCAGGTTACAGCAGCTACACAGCACTGCTAGTGCAGCCGCGCCATTGGTGTTCTTTGGTTGCATTTGTGCAAGAGTGACAAAGTGGTGGACCAGTTGTGCTGCGCTGTGGGTGCCCCACCTTGTGGAGTGAGCTGTGTGGCCGTGGTCATTCGGTCCAGACTTGAACTGGAGGAGCTTAAGCATCGCAGGGTGCGGCAGGTCAATGAATACACATGTAAGGACTGTGTTGCAGAATGCGTTGAGTTTTTTAAACTAAAGGGTAGATGCAGTAGTTGTGGTGCCAATGGCCAATGCAAATTTCAGGACTCTTTGGGATCAGGTACCTTTGCACCTGAAGGTGAACGAAAGTGCCAAAATATGGCTGTAAACGCCTAGTGTGTTCAAGTACCTAAGAATATCTATGTAACATATGAACTTTCTATTCTGTCACACACTTGCGCCTGTTGAATGGGGCCATTGTCTGTTTGCAGGGCAGGCAGGCCACGTGAACTACAACACTGTGCCAGGCATCGTGTACACCTGGCCGGAAGTGGCGATGGTGGGCAAGACGGAGGATGAGCTGAAGGAACAGAAAATCAAGTACAAAGTGGGGAAGTTCCCCTTCATGGCAAACAGCAGGGCGCGTGCAGTGGAGGATACTGAGGGCATGGTAAGGAGGATTGGTTGCTTACCCATGGGCTGGGTTTGGTTTCAAGGTTCCACGCAGGTCATGAGTTAGGCATGAATGCTGGACATCTCTGAAAGAGTCGTGTCCTGGTGTAGTGTTTTGACTCTTGATGATCTGGTTGATGGCAACAGTATGGCAGTCATCAACATCAAGTCACACTTCAGGCACATTGTCCACTGTGCGCACCATGAGTACTTTGTAGATAGTGCTTGGTCATAACATGTACTAAAAGGACAAGTGCATCAGTAAACGCAAGAAAGTTGTGGATTTCATGCCCTTTTGTTTGTCCGAAGCACTGGATCCTGGCTGGGGATGTGGATACGTGACTTGTGGGGATTAGTGCGAAGAGTACGTTCGATGGTGATATCGCATTGCTTTCTGTTATGGAACAGAAACACTGCCAAGCAGAAACACAGTGTTCGTGCCAAGCTCAGTATGCTGAAGGCTGAGAGCAGGAACACATCAGTGACTGCACCAGTGCTTTCCATTGGGGTACAGGGTGGACTAACTGGCAGCCAAATGGTTCCAAAAACCTAGGTGGAAGTCATTTGTGTTATGCACTCTGGAACAAGATGTGTTGCATTTGTCTGTAGTCACTATTCTCGTGCGGTCATCCTGTAGACGCCTTACACCGCCTTGCACTGCCTCACACTACCTCGCACTTGCCAAGTTCCCACAACATGTATGTCCCTTCTGTGAGGAGGGGAGTTGCGCCTTGAGTCGCAATTGCCTTCCAATTCGAAGGAATGCATTGTGGATGCTTTACAGCTGGCTCAATGATTCTTACTCTTGTTACTCCCCAAACTGACTGGTCAATATTTCGTCACTTTCTGTTGACAGTATGGGGGAAGCTGCATACAGTGCAAGCTGTTGGTGGTGACGTTCTGTTTTTGCGATGGGTAGGTGAAGTTTGTGTCTGATGCAGCAACCGACAAGATTCTTGGTGCCCACATTATGGGGCCCAACGCTGGAGAACTGATCCACGAGTGTGTGATGGGAATGGAATACGGGGCATCCACAGAGGTGGGTCGCAAGCGCTTGTGAAAGTGGCCCAAGAAAACGATGAGTGTCACGCCATTTTTACCCCATTTGAGCATGTTTAAATGGGAATAATAAGTAGTGATAGAAGGACTATTTTCAACGATACAAAACTATCTGAAGACGGCTGATAACTGCGTGCTGTGTGGCGATCTCACGAGCTCAGCAAGTAAGCGAACAAACAAATGGGCTTCTTTTGTCAACTGCAGCCCCTTCGCATCCATCCATCCCTTGCTGTTCTGATGTCTGGGCCGTTGGCTGAAGGCCACTGCCAGCCCGCAGCACCCCGTGCAGTCCTGATCTTCCCATCTGCCAATGCAGACAGTACGTGCCCAGGCAACTCTGTCTCACTGCACTGTCGCTTTGGATCGAATATTCCATTCCGGCTGCCATACAAGGCAAGAGAGTGCAAGCCCATCCCAGAGTTGGTTGTGCACACACCGCCAAATTCGTACGTGGGCAACCACATGCTTTTCACCAATGCTATGATGATGGTGTTCAATTATATGACAGCCCTAAGGGCACTTTGCGCTGCACGTGGAATCTCCTCCGGCCCATGCATGGAGTGTCGTGTCCCCAGTCTCATTGCTTTCGTGCACTCAATCTCGCTGTTTTGAACGCAGGACATTGCCCGGACTTGCCACGGCCACCCCACGCTGAGCGAGGCCGTGAAGGAGGCAGCCATGGCCACCTACTCCAAGCCCATCCACTCGTGAGCCTCGCGCCCACCCCAAGCGTCATGGCCACCACCAGTCGCGGTGCGCTGCAGCACACCACGCTGCCCTCACACCTGCAGGGCGGTGCAGCGCTCGCGTGGACGGTGTGCATAATCGAAGCTGGAAGCCAGGGACGGAATTGGAGACAAGGAGGGGTTACTTTTCTGCGTGCGCTGGCTGCACCGCCACCAGCACTTTCGGACTGTAGATTGTGCAGTACATTGTTGCACTTTCGGACGGCAGATTGTGCAGTACATTGCGCTGCTGCGTGCGTTTGGCGGCTGTTGAGCGTGCTTGCGCGTTGGCATGACTCGCCCTCATCGAATTTGGTGCCGATTTCTGGCTGCCTTCCCATATCGCTGGTTTAGGCTGGGGTGGCATTTGCACCCGGGGAGGCCACCGAACGAACTTTCTTTTGTTTCCTCCTTTCTCTGGAATTTGGTTTCATGTGCAAATTGCGCAGACTGTGACAGGCGATGCGCCCGTGCCATTCTGGTGACTGTTCTTGGACTTAGCAAATTCGGCTGCTCCGCATCTCGCTCCGGCACCGTTATTTTTTTCATCGACTCGCAAAAGGGCCCAGCGTAACGTTACCATGCGGAAGGGTTTAAAGCACTCCGGCACTTGTGCCAGTACTGGGCGAAGGTGACTGAAACGCGAACGCAAACGTGTCTGTCACGTTTGGTTTTCCGAAACAGCAACGCAAACAACGTTCAGATTTTTTCAAACGGCGACTAAAGTTGCGCCCCGCGTTTGAGTCGTGGACATGTCAGCATTGGCGTCCGGCAGGCGTTTGTGCTTCCGATGCTTCCAAAGAAACGAGAATCCAACCCGCCAGCCACCATTCACCAGCCTCCCAGCCGTGCACCAGGCTGTTTTAGTACATTATTGCAGTATTGAGTTTCACCCCCCCCCCCTACATTGCGGTCAACTGGGGTCTCCTGGAGCGGCACTCCAACGGTCGACACACTTGGGGCAACAATCGCTTTCGACGGCATGCATGTCAAAACTCGTTGCTATGTTTCCGGCCGTATGTCACTGGCAAGGGACGACCGTTGGCCACGTGCACGTGGATGCATATGCCTTCTCGGCAATCAATCCAAGCAATCAATGCCAGTCAATCCCCATCGCCTCCGTGTGCAGGTGGACAGAAAACACGAGCAAAGATATTATTACACCGGGCGCCCCGATCCCACCCATCTGCAGCCCATCCATCGCACAGCGCTGGAGGCAGCGGAAGCCAGCCAAAGCGCCAAAGCACTCATCTGCAAGTAGCCCTGAGAGCGGCATTCCAGCGACGCTCTGCATCCCGTCCAAATTTGCATCCTGGCTGCAGGACCGTGTGTTAACTTCTCTGCCTGCCCACACTAACGGCAAGAATCGACCGAAACTCCAAACCCGAAACCCGTCGCTCAGGCATGGACTGAAGGACCGGCACAGCACTGTATTTGTCAGCCCTCCACCAAGGTGGCAAAACTGCTCAAGAAGTGATCAAGCTGCAGCGCCTCACATCCGGTTCTAACATCCTGGCCTTGCCATGCCAGTCATGCATGTTCAATGGCAGCATCGACCAGAATCACCAGCAAGGACCTCGCAGTTGCGTTGTCCAAACGCCCTCCTTCCATTGGCGGGCTCACAACTGTGCAGCCAGCTCTCTCAAAATGCACAGCTCCCATAGGCTACACATACCGTTGCATAGTACATTGATACAATTCCCTGTCAGCTACGCTCCACACCTCACCAAAACTCTCAACATGCAGTGAACGCGCTTGACCCTCTCCTGCAAACTATACTTCGTGCAAAATGAGATAGCAAAAGAACTCCACGGGAAATGCTTTGTCGATTGGGCAAGCACTGGGAAATTCGAGCACCACCAAGCTCCCAGCACCTCCTGCTTGCTTGCTGGCACAGCAATTCCACATTGGACACCCTGAGGTCACGATGCCACTGTCCCATGGTGCTACTTGGCTGATCTTTTCGCCACTCTCTGCTTGTTGCTGAGTGGCACGCCCAAGATGCGAGACAGTTTCGACAAGACCTGTGGATTGGGGATGGCCCTCCCACTTTCATACTCCTGGATGACGTTGGGCTTTTCGTTTATGGCCTGGGAAATACACAAGCAATGCACGTCACTCTCACCTGGCAATAAAAAAGTAAAGAGATCAACTGTCACCTTCATAATATACCTCAGAGATCTCTTTTTTGTGATTCAATGCGCATCCCAGATCTCTATACTTTGTCATGTTTCAATTCATATTTCAGATCGCTTTACTGTGCACTTCCATATGACAACACTTCTTCAACATCCAGATTTCTTCAATTACTAATTCCTGGCAGGGGATTTACTGTCTGACGCCTTGTGGCAGTAGACATACTGCACCAATGCACCCCCTACTGTGAAGCCATGGCCAGACACTGCTGTGGAGGGCCTAGAAGGGTTCTGTCTTTCACCCTATGTTGCCCTCTGCCCGACTGCTTTGCATTTCCTTTACCTGTGCCAGCTGGGACTGGGTCATCTTCTTCGCCATCCGTGCTTGTTGAATCTTTTTCTTCAGCTCCAAATTCACACGATCATCTGCGCAAGCAGCCCGGCATGCACATTCAAACGCCGACTTGAACTGGCAGTCGCCAAGTAGTCCAATAGCTGGTGTAAATGAATACAAACGACTGTGAAAAGGCTGCACAAAGGCCCACAGGTTGGGCTTCCAGCAATTCGAACACCAATTCGAAACTTCTTTCAGTTAGATGGAACTCTTGACTAAACAAGTGCCAACTGGGCATCTATACCCTTCAGAATATCAAATGCAATAATTGGTTGGATGCCAGGCAGTTAATCCAGTCCACCTACGATGCAGCTCTTCTGACTCCTCGTCCAGCTTGCGAGCATCCTTCCCCGCCCCAGAACCCGTGCCTTTGTTGGTCCCTGCATTGTCTGCAGCCACAAGATATGGTATGTCACAAATGTACAATGGTGGCCTGTCCTTGCCTTTCTTCATTCCAAACTACTGCAGCGCAAGGTGGAGTCCAGGTGACCCAATCTCACAGCAAAAAGAACCAAATGGTACAAATGCCACACAGGCAAAAGGGCAGTACACTTTGTGCTCGCATGTGTGTCAAGGAGCTATCAGTCATCCTGGCGCACACACGAGCGGTGTTCGGTTGCAGGGGCACTGTTTTTACCCTGCAAGGCCCATGAACAAGATCCGCCAGGTTAATCAGAGAGTGCCAGCGTACAGGAATGTCTGGCCTTGCAAGGCCCAGGGGCACCAGGTGTGGCACACACAGAGCACTGGCCTTGTGATGGATCCTGATATTCATACAGCACACTGAAAGGGGTGACCAACAACCGAAACTAGCAAGGGGTGCTCCTAGCATGGGGATCTGTATGCAGGGTGGCGGCATGACAGGCCACGAACCAAATAAACAACACAACAGGAAAAGACCAGATGGAGAGTCTTCAGGGAAATGCGAACTCCCCAAGCCAAACACACACTGCACAAGCAGCAGAACTGCACCAGTGCAGAAACCCAAGTACTGAGAAGACCAGGAGCTCAAGGCTTCCTCTGTTTCCCACCCTTCTCTGTTGATTCTACAGTTGTGCATCGCGTGCATTAGCCCATGTGCCCCACCATCCACACTGCCGACTACTGCCTGGCATCGTTGGTGCTGGCGTCCCTACTACTGAAGAGATGTCAGCCATGTGACACGTCACAACAAGTGCAAGGCGATGTGAGCCCCCAAGACATGTTCGCAGGAAGAAATGGAATGCATGACCTCGAGGAAACTTTTGCTGGCTTACATTTCTTGACAGTGTCGATTGGACCTCCTGTCCGACGGGCCTGCACAAAGCAGCACATGTGAGAAGCCACCAAAGCATCCCCAAAGAGAGGCGTCGCTGCTCGCCGATCGCTAAACGAGTCCTTGCCTGGCCAATATTGGCGGTGCATCGAGTGAAGGAATGTATCCACAGCCAACGTGAAAGATGACATGCTAGTCATGCCATGCATCTCCATTGCGTTCAGATCATTGGACAGCATCAGTTTTCCTAGCAGAGTCCGTAAGGATAGGGTAGGAAAAAACGAACAACCCATCCCAAAGCCCTGAGAGCACACAACTGCACAGGCCTCCGGACAGAAAAAAGCTGGAGACGCTAGAGTGCCTTTTCAGACATTTGCAGCACCCCGTTCGCTTGTTCGTGGAATGGTGGGGAGGGCGAAGCGCCATTTGACAGGGAGGTGCAAAACAAACACTGTTGAACTCGTTGGCGCAAACTTCCCTCGTCAAGAAAAAGCAGGGCCCTTGCACCTTGCAGGCAAGGACGTACGGAAACGCTGAGGATGTACGCATGCCTGGCATCGTCCACAAGGCGCAGGGGGACCGTTGCGCGCTGCTAAGGCGCTGGGGAGGCGAGCGTTATCAGCGCGTCTTCCCCAGCACACGTGGCACTCCATGGTGCTTCTTTCTCCATGGCACTCAACAATTTCCATAATGCCCTTCGCAGCAGGGGAGGGAACCCCGCAAAAACGTTCAGCCTGGAAGAGGTTTTGCCCATTGTGCGGCATGCTTTCCTTCTGACACGGCGTACTTTGCACACGCGCGCCACGCTCCTGATTCGATAACAATTGTCGCGTGGCGCTTACGGCGCCACAAAGCGGAACGGGGCCCGCTGCCTGCTTGCTCTGGAGGTACCGCTCCAACGCACGATTCAGTTTTCCGGCTTCTAGAGTCTCGACACGCAACATCTTGACACCCACGCACCTGGTTGATGGCCGCGGAGGACTTGGCCTCCGCGCCCTTGGGCGTCTTCTTGCGGATCACAACCGTGTCCCAATCTTGGCCTTGCAGGTTCATGGTAGCGCAAAGGCGGCGAATGGGATCGGCCTGTGGTCGTTGTGGACAGTTTGGGTTGAGCGGGGAGGGGCGAGTGGGACGGCGAGCAAGAGGGGGGTGGGCGGGTTTTGTGCAGGGGTTGATGTGGCGGTGACGTGGCAGCCAGGGACCTTCGCGATCCTTCCACGGAGCGACTAATTCGGAGTCGAGTGTGGTGGACAGTGCATTAGAGAGCGCTGGAGCGTTTCTGAGCGAAGTGAACACCCACCACCTGGATTCATCCCCACAGGCATCACCATCAAGACTGCTGACATGTTGAAGTGAGAAGGCAGCCAGCTGCTCCCTGTGTGAGGTTCCCTGCGATCACGAGTAGGCACGCTGTTGCTTCACGCACTGTTCCAAAATACCCCATCCCCACAAGCACCCCAGGCATCCAGGCAGTCGCCGTTGGGCAACCTCCGGGAAGCGCGGGCATGAAACAAGATAGAGTGGGCAACCAAACGGGGGGGGGAGCTGCTAAATAGCCAACCCCGCCCAGCGCCTGCCAAAGCCCAAGGGCGCCAAATACCTGACGGTCATTGTTGAATGCCTTGTGTTAGCTTATAAACTAATTAGCCGCATAATGGCCACCGTTTACTTGGGTGGATCACTTATGTTTGATGTTGAGTGGTGTGCATTACAAAACGTGGTTCGCTGCTTGAGATGACCCAAAAAAACACTGTTGCGGAAAACATTACTATGAAACATGCAAAGGCTACTCGCGCCAGGATGCCACTATTCCTGGTGGGGCATTGAGATGGCTGCTTCCCAGATATGCGTACTCCTTTGCTTGAAGGTTGGCGATGTGTAAAAAAGACACGTTTTATGAAAATTTATGAAAGCCATTTCTTTGATTGAGTTCTTGATCGTTTGACTAAGTTGGTTCTTGGGGTAGTCTTCGATCACACTCAAGTTTGTTGGGGACAACATGAAGACTCCCGGCATGAACTGGAATCCCTGATTACTAGGCAGAGACAACGGATGGAGTTTGTCAACATCACGCAAGAGGAAGAACTTCGGCTCATGGAAGAGATCGGTGAGGGAGGCTTCGTCGAGGTGGCAAAAATTGAGTGGCAAAGGGAGCTGGTGGCTGTGAAGAAACTTCGAAATGCGCGATTCTGGAGAAGAGCAAAACTGTCTGTTTGTTGATAACATGGTTGTGTTTCACATGCTGGAACCTAGGCAGGGCCAGCTGCGAGCAAAAGCAATACAAAACCCTAACCTGCATGCGCTCTGTGCCTGGCATTTCCGCCATTTCTTCATTGGATATTTTGACCCAGAGAACTTTTGCTGACATCCTCATCTCTGTCACATTGAATTTTATGGTACAGGCACCCCGGTGTTGCAAAAGCTCAGGCAAGCCCATTCGCCTCTATTTTTAGGCACATAGCTGAGAATGGTTTTCCGGTGCATCGCATAATTGAAGATGCTTGTGTTTTTGAGGTCGACCCAAGCTCCTGCCTGTAGGGTATGTCTTGAACTGTATGAATGGCGCCTGATCAATCCTGTTCAGTGAAGATCAATGTGCCAATGTCGATAACTTTTGCCCGGAACTGGTCCACTCCTGTCACCATCGTTGCGCGGAGTGGACACACCTTCACAGTCGCACAGTTTCTAAGCAGAGGGGTATCAGTGCGCCTGGCTGACAACAGAGATTCTGGTTGTACAGCTGGACAGTAGATAAGCAGACATACTAGCGTCGGCAGCAGGGTGACTTCGCAGACACGATGTGCTGCTAAGAGGTTATTTGCGAAGCTGTATCCTTTGCGAAAGTTCTGCACGCTAAGAACACAAAAATAACACAAACCCGCAAAACTCATACACGTTTGAACACGCGTTATTTGGACCTCTTTTGGCTAGTGATGCGATCCTAGAACTTGGATTTGCGACACAGTTTTTTTCTACCAGTACACCATTGCGGCTTATTTTTCAGGATGGTTCTACTGCCCTCATAGCTGCTGCGCCGCAAGACGACATCGCCACCGATGAGTTGTTATTGGACAGAGGGGCTGATGGAATTTCGGTCGACAATGTGAGCAGGTATTGTGCTGCATCGACCTTGGTCCTTGCTTGCCCAGGGCGCTGCAATATCAGGCGCCCTGAGGGGGTGGGCTGTTGCACCAGGTGTAGCCATGTGCAGTGGACAGAACTTTGCTGGAACCGCAACTTTTGGCTGACGTTCAGTATGTTATGATTCATGCCAGGCAAGGTGGGCACTGTAGTCGAATAACCAATGCTCATCACTTGCCATTCTGTTGACAACCTGATGATGGATCTGCAACCTAGCATTCAGATACAAAAGTGTGACATGTTACGTAGCTGATTTAAATCTAGCTGACAATGTGAGAGAGCACGGTTCCGCTTTAATGATAAATCTTGGTTGAGCAAGACAATAACTTGTGAATTTCTGGCAGGAATGTTGTGCAATAATTTTTTTGCCAGTCTGGCAATATTGTTTGCTCGGGTACTGTGTTGTTTATGAATTTGAATGCAGAGGAGAGGCGTGTTTGTGTTGTTGCACCATCGATGCAGCTGCGCTCCGCTGCTTCATCGACTACTGATGTATAGTCTATACTCAGCTTCAAGAGCGTTTGTTTGTGGCCTGATGTTCTGCTGTCATATCTAGAATTTGTGTACACCTCTCATCGTTGCAGCAACATGTGGCCACTATGCCATTGACAGGTTGCTTGTTGCTCATGGCGCATTAGTGAATCACTGCGGCAAGGTGAGAACCAGTATTTCTATGTCCATTTGTGTTCTAATCAGCATGAAATAATTCTGTTACCCACTCTTCAGAATATCTTTGAGGCACCATCAAACACTATGTGCGCCATGTGAAAGCATGCTGAGCCAAGCATTTACAAGTCTTGGCAGGTCTTGCTGAAGCTCGTTCAACTTGCAAAATATTGACATAAAAACAATGCCAGGTTTCCCCTCAACATGTGGAGAACAGTGAATATGTCTCTTCTGTAATTGTGCAAACACGATAGTTATCCGATTTCCTTTACTCCACTGTATTTGCACTAAACCAAATCAGCTGGAAATAAAGATTCCTGAACGCTTGTAACCGGTAAAGTAGACAGCCCTCCAGAATTCAATACCAAATTCCAGATGCAGGGCATTTGGCAGAAAGTGGGAGCTGGCAAATCACCGCCTGAAACTGATGGTGTTTCACGAGTTGCCACCATTGTGGGCACTTTCGCGTAGTCAAGCAAGATCTGGGTGCACCTATTTTGCAGTTTCGGGTTTCCCATAAGGGATTTGGCTATTGGTTTTTCTGAATGCGATGTTTGGTGATGTTTTTCGGGTCCCTTTCTGCGATTCCAAATGGGCATGAGTTGTTTGGGAAAGGGATAATGTTTTCCATGGATTTTTATTAGATTAGATGTGTATTGGACCATGTCGTTGACTGCAGCAAGTTGCCAAAGGGTGAAATGAGAACGCCGGCGTACTAGTAATGTAGTGCAAGCAGTCTACAGTGACAGCGCAAGAATCCCTGTTCCTAAGTTTCCATGCTACAACAAATTCTTGACGTCCCATATTTGGTCTCTGCTTGGTACATTTATTTCAAGTTCTCTGGATGCAACTCAAGCTCATTGAACATGCCCAATGGATGGCATCTTTTTGTTGCAGTGGGCACTGACCTATGTTAAACGGTTTGGAGCCAGCTCTTCCCACGCTGCATTCCCAAGATAACACAGAACTGGCTTTTGGTGATTCAGCTTGGGATTGTCCTCTGTGTGTGGCTCCGTATACGTTGTGTTCATATGGAAGTGCATAGTATGATTGACCAACGATGAAAAAGCCTAAACGTTGCAGTATAATGTTGGGAAGCAACAAGAGAGATGTGTTGTGCGGCACGAGGTTTCTGCAGGAGGGCTAAGTGTGTACGCTTGGTGCAAAAGTTGGCATTATGCAGTAGTTGAATGTGTTAAGCAACTACTTCATGAGGTACCTTGTCAGGTGCCGTCCTATGATTGTGTGGAATGTCATCTTCTGGAAAAGTTGTCAAATGAAATGTGCTCTGTGTAAGGTGGCCACACTCCTTTCTGGTATGCTACACAAGGTCACAGCGCAGTTACTGGAGTGTTGATCAGGAATGGTGCTCGCATGGTAACGACATACGTTGAATGTTCTTTATGAACACTTTGCTTTGTGAATCTATATAAAAGTCCACGCTTCCTAAGCACAGAAGGTTGTTTGTGTAATAGTATCTTTGCAATGTGGCATTCTCTTTTCTGAATGATTTTGAATGCAGTATGGCACAGGATTTTCAATGTGCACTGGTGCAATTTCAGGTTTTGAGCCCTGGCATGGTATCAGCTGAGCTTGGCTTCCAAATTTATTTCGCTCGAAGTCTATTTGCATTTGGCATGGGAATGGGCGGAGGCTCCGTTTGGGGCTGGTCGTTCAAGATTGTGTCCCACGTTCCTATTGGCTGTCCCTAAGCGTTTGAGGGTCACGGGCCTTTCATATCGCAGTGGGTGTGGTGTGGAAATGGGGACGTTCTGCGGCAATCTGCCCTGCTGTTGATGTGTGTATGGAGCTCAGTACATACGTCTGCCTTGTTTTGACCACAATGCTTGATATGTTTCGATAACAGCCATGGTGTGCATATTCTGCTGCAAGAATAGAATGGACAGCTGGGAGGGTGAGGCCGCCAACAGAATAGTGGCCCCGTTCCCGGGTTTCTATGCACTTTCGCATTCTCCTGATCCGCTCACATGTATATTTACCAATCGAGTTCAGTTTTTCAGCCGAATTGACTGCACCACCCAGTGGGCGGCACCCTCCCGTTCTGTGCACAGTGAGCACCAAATGCACCAGTACGTCCTATTCAGGCTGGTTTCTATTTCTCACAAACAAAAATAGCATCCATTTGGACGCAAAGGGGAGCTGGCCAAAGCCAGCTATGAGCGTGTCATTTTTGCCAATTTCAATAGAGTTGAAGAAGAGGGAATGGACATGACCTGGGTTCAAATGACAACTGAAGGCTGGCATTGAGCAAGCCGTACAGCTTTCATACTATCAAGCTCATCATCAGAAACTTAGTGTAAGACAAAGAGGTCTCCAGTTCTAGATTGATGCAGTCGCACCGAAAAGCGTCATCACCAAAGATAGGGAGCACTTGGGTGACATGCCCGCAGACCTTCTGAGAGGTAAGGGGCACAAACGATTAAACAAGGGGCTGCTGCACAAGTGGGCTAATGCCAGTGGCAAGCACGGCAATTGGAGCGGGCAATTGCAAGTTCTCGAAGAAGCTGCTAAGGTTGTAAACGTGCTCGGACGAGGCTGCCAGGGTTGTGTATACAAATTCCAGTATATAGATAAATTGGCGGCTGTGAAGATGCCAACATCGTACAAATAGGGCCTAGCCATTCAAGAGTTGGTTGTGTTTCTCAGAGAGGCCTATTGAAATTCAGAGCTGAATTCCTTGCACGGACTCCAGCTGTTTGCTGTCACCATGACAGGCTGGTTTGTCATGGAAATGGCCGACAAGGACTTACACACACTGTGCCAAGAACAGGACGTTGGCTGGGCAAGAAAGCTTCTTCTTCTTCAGAAAGCTGCTTCTGCATTGCTTCTGCATTGCTTCTGCGTTGCTTCTGCGTTGCTTCTGCATTGCATTTGTCCAGCCACTGAATTGTTCACAGTGATGTGAAGACCTGTGACTTTCTGGTTTTTGTTTCCCAAAAAGATGGTTGTGCTGTGAAGCTTGCGGATTTTGGCGTTGCAACTGAAGAAACCTCTACAGGAATCCTGACTCTGAGGCTTGGAAGGGGAACAGATGTTTATATGGCTCCTGAAGTTCGCAATAACGAAGCGCCAACCATGACTTCAGATATCTATGCCTTTGGCGTCATTGTGCATGAGGGAATAACAGGCAAACAACCATATTCTGTTGAGGTCAAGCTCTTGAATCAGCATGCCACCGTGTGGAGGAAAACTTTTTGACAAGCGGTACAACAGCAGTCAGCAAGGAGGGCGAGTCAAGGACCAAGAGCTTCGCGGTGGGTGACAGTGGGAACAAATTTCTGCATGCCACGCTCTGTTGCTTCCAGCTGGCAAGGCGTGGGAGCGATGCCCAGAAGATTGAGGTGAAGCAACCAAGGAAGATGGTTGATCCGTTTGATGCCCCAGAGCTGCGCGTCGGGAAGCATTATATTGTCGAAAGTGGCGTCCAGAGCGTTGGCTTGGTTCTGTGGGAGCTCGCGATGCAGATGCCGCCGAGCGATGTGAACTGTCATTACCATGGTATTGATCCTGATATACTGCTGAGCAAGCTTCCGAGTGACAGCCCTCCGTGGCGAAGGTCAGCAATTGAAAGCGTCTTGTCGTCTGCACCTTTGAAGGGGCCAAGCATTTGCGAACTGCAGGGTGAATTGGCAACCCTCAAGGAAGAATTCAATGGTCGAAATCCTTCAGCCCTGTGGGTCGCGGCAAGGGAAGCCGCAAATACAGGAAGAAAGTGTAAGTTCTTGAATTGGGTAGAAGCAATATGGGTTCGCAGGTAAGCAATGCACTTGGGTGAATGCAGTCCACGCAAAGACAGCGTTACGTTGAACAGCATTGAAACAACGACTGTGACGGTGCGCGAAAACACTGCATAGTCTGATTGTGATGCATCACATATATATCACATATGTGTGCTTTGTGTGTTGTGCCGGCTGATGGAGGAATGCGCAGAATGGAAAGGTGTCAATATGCCTATTCCTGGCATCACAATCACAAGGATCATTTTCTGAATTGCTGAATTTCTGAATCATGTACGACAAGGTGAATGCGGCAGAAGCACTAGATGTCGCCAGATCAGCGCTCGGCGAGGCCCAGATATCCAGTAATCGAGCAGTTCATGGGCACCGCTATCCGCAGTCCGCAATGGGGTCCGTTGCCCTTAGATGCGATCCATCTTGCATCGCACTGCTGCCTGCAACACCCGCCAGAAGCTCGTTCAACCCCTGAATTCATAACCGTGCCGAAAAACAAGTTTGCACAAAATGAAATCAGAGCAAAGATTCGGCTTCGTTCCAGCCGACGAACCGAAGTGTTCATGAAACTAGCTGCTGTGTCTTGTGGATTTATGCCAATGGCGATGCGGGGCCAGGCTGCACATACTGTTCAAAGCGGCTGTGGCAGGCATGCTTGTGCAACACGACAGACATCCGCCGCCAGTTCCACAATGAGCAACGAGTTCTGTGCCCTTCACGCAACTGGCTTGATCGAACAAAACTCGAGCTCGAAGGTTTGGCACAAGGCTATGACAGATGTAGGGCGTCCACATTCTTGCCCACGCAGAATCGCAGTACGATACTTCGATAGTATGTCGAAGTACATTCTTGTTTCGATTGCCGCACAGCCCATACGAAGTGCATTTTTGTTTCGATTGCCGCACAGCTCGATGCTGATCGCCTCACCGAAGCCCCATAGGACAGAGGTGCGAAACTCCCGAAGGGATGCTGGCTTTGAAGCCAAACTGGTCGCGCTCCAAGCAACCACTTGCGCGCACGGGACGCGCCCACTCTCCGAATGCTGCAGCCACAAATCTTACAACGCTCAGAACTGCTGTTCACAATTTACCTTCTCGTCTGTAATTGAGTAACAACACCTTGTGGCCCCGCACATTTCATGGGTCCCCACCAAATAACTAACTGTTTCGAAAAACGCAGTACAATCAAAGCTACAATCAGGTCCTGTCACATTGCATCCTGGCGTGAAAGTCCACGCCTGCCTCACTCCCATCTTGCCCTGTACACAGCTCATCACACCATCAGGCTCGGTATTTTGCGCCGTGCACACAAATTATATGTACGCTTTTGGGCGCAAAAATAGTTTTTACTATTTTACACGTAAAAATGCGTAAGAATACATAATACCGCCGGTGTACATTAGGTCAGTAACCACAGACTTACGAAGTCCAGGGAATGGCAGCCAGACGCCCTGAAGGGGTAGCAAACGAGCTTTGTTACACGCCGTCGTCGCCCTTGCCGAGGGCGAGGTTGACACTGTGCTGCTGGTGCTGGAGATGGCGGAGGACTGGTCGTTCTGCACGACTTCCATCGTGCAATCTGGGTGCCCCAACGAAGCGCATGGAAGGGAACAAAACCGGACACAAAAATGGCCCCTTTCGCAATTTATGTTTTTGCGCATAAAAGCGTGAACGTTAATACCAATTCTGCATACCACCTTGAGCATGCTTAGAGCATCCTCTCCTGAGCCCAACATCAGCTTCACCATACAGCTTCCCCCCGTCACCTTTAGTGCAAAAGGCAAATGGATAATTACAAAGCGAAGAAATCAAAACAGGAAAAGATGTAAAATAGAAAAAGCGATAAATGAAACACGCGGGTTATCTCTTACACCGCCCCGCAGCCACCTGCGGCCCTCCATAGCGGACACCCTTGCCAGCGATCTTCGCTTGAGTTGAGCATACGGAACTGGGAGCAGAAATCAATCGGGGGCATCCAATGAATCCCACAGTCTTTGCCGAAATCACAACTTCTTGGCTTGCCCATCTCGAACGACAGACCCAAATTAACTAAAGGGTTAAAGACTGCAGTTCTAGCAATGCAACTGCAGCGATAATCGAAGCCGAAATGACATGGGAAGGTACCCCATCGCCTAATACACCGGGCGCAAGCCGTGTCTTGATAAGGCACTGGATCATCTCAGCCGCACAACGGGTTTCGATGCAATATATCACAATCGGCAGCTCGGAGGGCTCTGCTCAAATTCGCACAACGTAGGCTCCACATCGCAATGACTGTTGGTCATCTCATGTGATTTAAAGGCACAAGGCACACGCGTGCATCGTTTACCTCGTGACACACCACGCGTGTGGCACCAAAGTCGCCATGGAGCATGGAGCGCGAGTGCAAGAGCACCACATACAGTACCTCGTTGCTGTGAGGGCAAAATTTTTTTCTCCCCGCCGCCCTCGCTCGATTTGCTGCTGATCTTCCGCTTGGGAAATCGGTGCGCGGTACAGATACCAGAAGAAAACGACAGGTTGTCGACGCCACCTGTGATGCGATTTCGACTCCCATTGATGCCATCACGGCTACTTTAACGCCAAGGAAATCAAATCGATTGCATTTAATGACAAAATTTCATCGCAACTGACATCTCGAAAATAGTGTTTCTGCTAGCGGAATCCGCTCCCTACTTCTGGGGGCCGTCCGAATCGATTGATCCACTCATCGCACTGTGCGCGTCCCTTCATAGAGCCGCTCTTGGATCCACTCATGCTCTGGTTGGAGGGGAACTCAGCCCAACATCATTCACGATGCTACTCTGGCAACAACAATGTGTGTATTCGCGGACACTGATTTGTTAAACTGCATTTGAATTGTTGGTTGGGAAAAGGACCATCTTAACGAATTTTAAAGATCAAGGCAAGGGGAGCAAGCCGTGAGCTCCTAACTCCATGTTTTTGTTTGAGGCATTCGCTTTGTGTCTTGGAGAAAGACACTCACACACGCTTGAGGCCTCCATCAGCAAATCCCAGACGTCCAGGTGCCACTTCCTGCTCCCAGGCCCATTCGCGGCCGCACAATCGCAATGTACTGTGAACCACTGACCCCGATCCTTGGCACCCGCTCACCCTTGGCGGGTTTGTTTAGGGTAGGGTCCCAACTCAGGACTCCAAACTCACCCCTTGGTCAGAACTTCTAACTTACTCGCTCATTCCTAGGTTGGGACTCCTAACTTAACTTGCTTACTCCTAGGTTAGGGTTCCTAAACTAATCATTTACTCCTAGGTCAGGACTCCCAACTTCTTGCCCACATGGACCAAGGGGCCCGCCCCGGGTTACACCGCCTATATCCCCCAATACACACACACACAGCACCGCAACCGCGCCAGGCCAAGCGGCAAGCGAAGCACACAGGGGCGGCCCTTTACAACATCAACCCCCCTCCTCCGCCGACAGGATGAGCTCCCGCCTGAGGTGAGCCGCGCGCATCCCCGCCAGCCGATCGCCCTCCCGGCCTTCGCGGCTTAGTGGCCCGATTGTCGTTCTGGCGCCCATGGGTGATGAATCCAGGGCCGGTGGTTTGAGAAGGCAGATCCCAAAAACCAGGGAATGTGATGGGATGCTTGAGAATGAGGTGCTCGAGAGTGGTTTGGGGACGATCCCAGGGCCTGTGGTCTGAGGAGCCCAAGAGCGAAAATCAAAAACCGAAAGCCGAAAGCACAAAGCGCAATGAGGCGTTTGAGATTGAGATGCTTGAGAGCGTTTTGGGACTGCGCATGGGCGGCGGGGACCCTGGTCTGAGTCGGCGGATCGAGTGGCCGCGCTGGCCGATTATTTTACGATGGGTGTTTTGGAATTTTTGGATCTTCTGGGCGGGCTCGGTGGGAGGGAGAGGCTGAGTGCCTTCTTCGGTGCCGGGCGACGGCTGTGGGCTAATCATGACATGGGTGGTGGCTTTGTGACCTGGATTTTTCGCGTCTGTCTCTGCTGGACCCTGCAGGGCACCCAGGCGATTCTGTGGGCATGATAGGCACGACTGGATCATGCGATGGGTGATGGCTTTGTGGGCCCGGGTATTGTGTCTGTACCCGCTGGGGCCTGCAGGGGGGTGCTGGGCGATTTTGTGTGCCTGATGTGGACGGATGGGCGAATGGCAGCTGGGACCGTGTGATCCAGTAAGTGCGCTGGCAGGCATGAATTCACCTGAGGGCTCAAATTCGAGGTTGGGAATGATGCAACACCGGAGACGCGGCGTGATCCCCCCTCCTGGGACTGGCTGCGAGAGATTGCTCTGTAGCTTGCCAGGGAATCGAAACCCAGAACAACAGAAGAACATTTTGGGTGTGCACAGCCATTGTAGCCTGCAAGGTGCAAGAGCCCCGATCTGTCTTTTAAAGGCGAATTGAAACATAAAAAAAAAAAGAAACAAGGAAATTAAGCAAGGAATTTAGCCAAGGACACATAGCATGGATCCCCTACTGGACTCTGCTCTGTCCACACATGAATCTGGGATGTCCTGTGATCTTGCCATCTGCCCTGGCGGCTGCAGGGAGCTCATTCGCTCGGTGCGCCAGTGCAAGACCGCGGCCCAGGAGCGCAATGTGGTGGCCAAGGAGAGCGCGGCACTGCGGGAGGCCTTCAAGAAGCAGGACACGGCCTACCAGCACCGCAACGTGGCCAAGCTGATGTACATACACATGCTGGGCTACCCCACGCACTTTGGGCAGATGGAGTGCCTCAAGCTGATCGCTGCGCCCAGCTTTCCCGAGAAAGTGAGTCCTGCTGAGGTCCACTTGTTGCTGCTGTTGTTTCGGTGCTTTGATCCCGAAATATTGCATCATTTCTTAGTGTCCGGATACCGCCCCATTCCCAATAAAGGGTTGTTGTGCTTGTGTCACCCAGCAAGAAAATGCAGGGCGCTGTGAACCCCCCCACCACCTGCATGGCTTGCACGTGAATGAATGGTCAATCTCAAGTTAGAGAAGATCTACACTGCAGGTGCTTGTCTTTTTGAAATTTGCTCTTTGAGGTTGCTGTGGTTGTTGTTGAAAGTCCTTTACTCTGAGATTGTTGTTGTTGAAAATCCTCATACTCTCATGCAATTTGCATAAGGGTTAAGAAGAAATTGTCCCAGCACAAGAAGAGATGTGAAACGGATCGTTTCATTGCTGCTGTTCTTGCTAATCGTATTTAGGTGAGGTCGATAGCAGGACATTTAGGTGCGATCCCAGCCTTTCCATCCAATAAATAAGTATTGAGGCAGGGAGATGCAGCATTATGAAGTGCATTGTGTCCATCCCTTTCACAGTCACAAGTGCTGTCAATTTTGTTGGCCCCAACATTGCCCATCCACGGGCCTTATAAAGTTATGTCGTGCTTGCTCACTGTGCGGAAAGATGGTTTCTGGCACCCATGGCCCATGGGCAGGGGGCGAGATCTGGTGTACCTTTCACAGAGATCGATGCTTGGGTGCGGCTGCTGCTCTTACTGGGCTGGGTGCCATATTTTGCACCACATGGGCTTGCCGTGTTGCCCAGAAATTGTTATCCCGCACCGGCGTTATTGGGCGCAATTGCAATGGACAGGCTCCGTTTTGTGGCTGAAGGCCTATGTGCAACAGGGAAGGGGGCCTGCTCAGGTTATCACTAACATCACCTTTCTGGTGAAAGGCCTTTTGCTTTATCTCATGACAAGCCTGCTTAAAGCAAGGATTCTGATGATGGTGTTGATAGCTTGGGCATGCTGATGTGGGCAGCGTGTGGGCTACCTGGGTTTGATGATTCTGCTGGACGAGCGCCAGGAGGTGCTGATGCTTGTCACAAACTCTTTAAAGAATGATCTGTCAAGCAAGAATCAGTACAACGTGGGGTTGGCGCTCGCAGCATTTGGGAACATCTGCTCTGCAGGTGAGGACGAGTCTTGGCAGTTGCTGTGCACACCTGTTTGCTGTTAAAATCTTTATTGAATCGTGGAGGCTGCAAGGCTACAGAATGTTCAGGGGCTGGATGTGCCTGCACCAAATTGTTTTGGTTGATACATTGATCACTCGATGATTCGGCGCTTGTAATTGATCGTTAAGAGCTGCAAGCTGAATCTATCGATTAGTGACTCAGTTTAACTCTGTTGGTGAGCGCAAGTCACAGTTACTTGCCAAGGAGTCTGTTAATGGTGTGTGTGTCAGGCACCACCGGGAACCATGCTGCCACTGCCTGTTGAAATGGATGATCCAGATTACATAGGCCATCAGGCACAATGCGATACATTGTTTCCCCCTAGCCATGGTTGAGATCAAAGCAGAGCAGGTTGGGAAAAGCGAGGCAGCATGGAATCCAGGTGCATTACTTGGTGGTGTACAACTGTGTACTCCATGCTGACATGATTAAGATAACCTGCTGTGCTGCACACTCCTTTACCGTTCCTACGCTTCTGTGCCATGCCTTACATCCCATAACAAACTGCGATGAGCAGCACGTGAGTTGCTCACAGTGTCACAGTATTGCACATGCCGTCACCTTTGTCAATAATGCATCGACTGTTTAGGGAACGCTGCTTGATATCACTGGGTTGTGCAAACTTTGAGTTTTCTCTTTGAGGGTGAGAATGTATGAGGCCGTAATGGCAGCTAGTATGCTGGGGCAGCAAGGACTTCCCCTCACATGCTGTTGAATTTGGGAACATGGAGGCACGTTATTGTGCCCTGGACTGTGGCAGTGCCGCGGTAGGCATAGAAAGGTGCTGTGTTCATTGTCCTAAGATCAAGGTATCAGTTTATGCAGATTTGTAAGAGCTTGATGTTACAGTGGGGTGCAAGAGGTTTGTCTCGTGTAGCTGAGAGCAATGTCTCCAAATGTGACAAATGTGGATCACAGACCCACACCACAGCTATTGCACATTCACGCCCTTCGCATCAATTGTAGTGATGTGGCTGATGCGTGGGCAGTACGCAGCACTGGAGAAAAGCTGACTGCCCCTTCCACCCCTCACAGCCAACAGTCAACCCTGTTTTCTGGCCTTCAAAAATGGTCATTTCTTTCGAAACTTAGCATTGAAGTTGTTGCAAATTATGCACATCATGAAGTTGAGGCCTGCTGTATTGGTGTGGAAAATTTGAACTGGCTGTCCTGTGCTGCAGAGATGGCTCGAGACCTGGCTCCTGATGTGGAGAAGTTGTTGAAGAGCAGCAATTCATACATTAGGAAGAAAGCAGCACTGACTACAACAAGGTGCATGGCCATTGCCAGCTTCCAGTACTTTGCACCATTTAAACACAAGGGCAGTGCCAACTGGCTTGCACTTGATGGATGAGTCATTTTTTGCGATGCATCTTCTCGGTGTGGAGGCTGTTGTGGTGTTGTTGCTCCACTTGACCTGCATGCCAAACGTCAGCGTCAAAAGTCAACAGATCTGTAGTGAGCAGCGCCAATTGGGAGGGTCGAGTATGGTGCAGAGGCAAATACAGTCAAAAGGACGTCAGCCTTGTTGGAGACCTGCCACTACCCTTAGTACTTTGCAGCCCTCAGAAAGATCAGTGCTCTGCAGACTCTTGCCGACTCGTCCCAAAACAAAGATTTCAAAAGTTTTTTTTTCTTTTTTTTCTTTTTCTTCTTTTTTTGGCTTCTGACTGTCTTCGCAATGGGAACAGGATAGTGAAGAAGGTGCCTGAGCTGGTTGAGCAGTTCATGCACCCCGCGGCAGAGCTCCTGAATGACAGGCACCATGGTGCGCTGCTCACTGGGGTGACGCTGATGCTTGAGATGTGCCACTTGGAGCCTGATGCCATCAAGGAATACAGAAACCACATTCCGCAATTGTGCAGGTGCGCTGGTTCGCTCAGGTCGTGGTTTTCCACCATCATCCCCAAAGAATATCACAACACAGCAAATGAAAAATGCAATCGTAAATGAACGTTGGCATTGCTGCAATATTGGTACTGAATGATTACTTGGTTGCTAAAATTGAAGGGTTTGGCTGTGTGATATTGCATATTGGATTGTGGACAGTGAAGTAATCAACAATTTGTTCTTTAGCTTGACATCTGGCTGCTGTCGGTGTAACCCACCAGGGCACGTGGTTCTCTGAATGGGAGGGGAATGAAGGGCTTGCAAGGTGGATACTGCTGTGCCCATGATCTCCTCAGAGGGTCCATGTGCCCCTTTAAATCACTTGCTCATGTTTGTCAGTAGCTGATGGAAATCGCACACACAACTGCGCAGGACAATGGGAACAGTGACAGCGATGTTGATAAAGTTTATGTTGTTGACTGTGCAGGATAATGAGGAGTCTTGTGGTCAGTGGCTTTTCACCAGAGCACGATGTGGGCGGGATCAATGACCCTTTCTTGCAAGTCAAGATCTTGCGACTTTTGCGGGTGCTGGGTGAGTTGTTTGCTGGTGATGACTCAGGAGTTATAAGATTGTTTTGCTACTGTAAGCCCTGGCTGGCATAATACCTGCAGCACTGCTACTTCGTTGTCCATTCTTCACTCACTATTGTAGCCATAATGAATGCATTCATTCTTTTTCCTTGGACAGGCAAAGGCAATGCGGAGGCGAGCGACCAGATGTCTGACATACTGGCCCAGGCCGCCACCAACACGGAGCCCACAAAGAATGCTGGCAACAGCATCCTGTACGAATGTGTGCAGACCATCATGAGCATAGAGAGCACCGGTGGGCTGCGAGTGCTTGCAGTCAACATCCTGGGGCGCTTCCTGGGGAACAAGGACAACAACCTACGCTACGTGGCACTCAACACACTGGCAAAGGTTGTGACTGTTGACGCACAGGCTGTGCAGCGGCACAGGACGACAATCGTGGACTGCGTGAGGGACGCGGACGTCTCCATCAGGTGTTGCCTGGTTTCAGGCTGTTTTGCAATCTCTTGAATCACATCGATTGTAACAATTGTTTTCGAATCGTTGGTGAGTTTATTCATTGATTTCAGGGCATCTCCATCAGCTTAGTCCCCACCAATTGCGTTGTCAAGAATGGTTCAAGTTGCCATTGCCTTTTGTTTCATTTCTGTGGAGCACCCTGGTTGATGTCACTAACTAGTGTATGTGTCGAGAAGGCTGCTAGGCGCCACTTAAGCAGAGGCGATGCCAAGTCAAGGGTAGCGTAAGCCTCAATTGCTGCATTTGTCCATGAGCATGACAAGGAACTGCCCTTGACCTTGTTTGGTGATGTCAGGGGTTGTTTGCAGCAGTAGACAATGTTCTCAAGGAAATTATGTCCAGAAAGTGGCTTCTATGGCTCCACTGGACACCGTGAAAAACTGCCAGTGTCAACAAAAGAACAGGATGCAATATTGTTGTTCTGAGAATTTCAGGGGAGGAGTTGGGAGCTTTTTTTTTCAGAGCTTGTTGTTGATCACTGTAGCAGTCCCAATTCCAACATCAGTGCCCACACACATTTGTGGGATGCTCATGAACAAAAATGTGCAGGTGGAGCACTGATGGTTGATCTCTGTATTTGCTGCAATCTGGTGGTTGCAACACAGATCTTCAATGAATGCATCTGCAAATAATGTGATAGAGCACTTGTCCTTGTGTCCCTTCAACGCGTGCACAAGCTACAATCTTGAGAAATCAATCTACATTGCACGATGATGATTCAGAACTAGCTAAAATATCAATAGACCAGAGCAGTGGGATGAACCAGAACAAGCAAGCATGTTCTCACACTGAACTATGAACACAAAACGGGTACATTGTTGACCGCGCAATCAGTGTGATTCTGATTAATTGGAATAGACTACCACAACGGAGAACTAAGGCTGGAGGTGCGTCCATCAGGCGGAGGGCCCTGGAGCTGGTGTACTCTCTCGTGAATGAGGGCAACATAAAGAACCTCACCAAAGAGCTGCTGGAGTACCTAGCCGTGAGTGACGCCGAGTTCAAGCCTGACCTGACGTCCAAGATCTGCACGCTGATCCAGCGCTACGGGCCCGATAAGTGCTGGCACATCGACAACATGTTGCAGGTGATTCTTTGCGGCAAAAGTGGGCAGACAGCTTGTGGTTTGCTTGATGCTTTGCTGTATTAAGATGGAGAGCATTGTGCGGTGCAGCCAGTGTGGAATGGAGTGATAGCCAACAAAGATGGATGACGTGATGGCAGCGTGTCATGCTACATACGTGGATGCCATTTGTTTGTGATAATATTTTTGTTGGCTAAGGATGCATGTCAACTAACCTGATTTGACCAATGAACCTGCTCAGTAATCCATATCCAGACTGCATACTGTGCGATTCTGTGCATAGCGACATATAGTATTACTCATGCGAGATAAACTCTTTTCTACCACAGCCATTTGTCACTGCTACTTGTGTATCAGGGTGGCGGGTGGCTGCTGGAAAGTAGCATTCGAGGCGATTGACTTGAATGGAGAATTGCAAGCATATGTAGACTGCTTGCAGTACAGCTGTGAGCATAGCAAGTGATCTTATCAGTCCTGGGAGGCAAGCGCTGTCCTGATGGTGAAACTTGTGACTACAAACCCATGTGCATTGTGGAGGCTGTGGGCAAAACAGAGTTGACAGCCATTTTTCCAGTATTTTAGAAGTACAATAGAGTTCCTTGCTTGATTGCATCTGTTGTGCAAAGGCAAGGAAGTCCCCAGTCACTCAATGGGCGATATGGGGAACAAGATGCAAAATGCAACCGCCACATTTGTCAAAGAATTTGTAAAGAAGCACCCATTTTCACCCATCAGGCATTGCCAGACGATGTCCGCAGCAACAAAAGATACTCTGAACAGATTGATTCCATGTTCCCACTGAACGTCCCAAGGAACTGCTGGTGCCAAACTCAACTGACACATGCAGTGACAATCGCACACAGTTGTCACGGCAAATCAGGGCAGGCCCACCGACATCGCTCAATGTGTGAAAAGGCACTGATCATGAGACAAATTCAGCCACTATCGAGTCACACAGGAAACCACAAGCTCTGGATACGATGCACACTATGTGAATTTGCTCCTTGGGGCCATCGCACACCTGAGGAAGGCCTGGACCTGGACGTTATTGGTGCATTTTCAGGGGCCAGCGGCACGATGTTGAAATTTATTCACTTTTTAGTGAACAACAACAGCGGCACCAAAACAACAACAGCCACCAACAAGCACAGCAGCAACAGAAATCCAATCGCTTTTGCTCACTTGTCTGTTCGCTTCTTTTTCTGCTGCGACGGGAATGGGACCTGAGCTGTTATGTTGTGCTGCGAAGTTTGAAGTACAAAGACAATTCTGTCAGGACAGTGGCAGCACCTGGCTATGATCTGGAAAGAAAAAGCAATGCACCCATCACTCTTCCTTAATGTGAGCTGCAGCTTTGTGCATGTTTCCTGAGATGGGCCAGTAAATTGGATTGCAGTATTATGCAACCCTATGCGATATACTTTTTATATGCATAATATAACCCTATGCAAAATTCGATATTATTTTAGTACTCAGGGATCAGAGAAACGTGCAGATGTTGCTGGACAGATGGCGTAGTTGGAATTTACCTTGCTTTACAGATGCAAGGCAAGCCATATTGGCAAGTATTCACACAATGCGCCAGTTGGATATAATCACTGAATGCGTTATTGAATGAGTATTGTGGCTATCTGACAAGGGGAGGTTGACGTTTCTGATTATGCAGGTGATGGCCCAGGCGGGCCAGTACGTGAAGGAAGATGTGTGCAATGCCTTGATCGTCCTCATCACAAATGCAACAGACCTTCAGGGCTACACGGTGAGGGCCATGTTCAGGGCCATGAAGGCGAACGGCGACAGCAGCTGCACCAGCCTCCTCACTGTGAGGTGAGCAGACACAGGGCGCCTGTTTTGGCTGCAGGGAGGTGTTTCAACTCTGGTGCGGCATTCCACTCTGGTGTTTGTTCATCTAAATTCCTTTAGTTTGGACAGCTGGAGAAGCTTGGTTTCATCAAGAGGCTGAAATGCACTGTAACAGGAGCTCCAGAGTGCAGCAAGGCTTGCAAATAAGAGCACAACATGTATGTTATTGTGGTATGATGTTGCCATTGTTTTGTTGTAGCACCCATGTTGGATAGTGTCAAAGTGCGTGGGTTGGGGTTGGGGGTTGAGGGGAGTGTTAAGGGCAAAGTGAGGTTTCCATCTCTGCCTTGAATATGGGGTGTTTGAACACCGTCCATGTGTTCTGTACAAGGAAGAGATCGTCAGGTCCAGTTGGTGCTGTAGCCCCACTGCTGAAATTGCAGTTCCTGCAGCAGTTGGCACGCCCTAAACCTAAAAACAAAATACTAGACACATTGAGCTTTCTCATGCAAGGAAAAGAGCATTGATATCTGGTCGATAGTGAACACAATATTTAACTTGTTGCAGGTGCAAGGGCAATGCTTGTCTTATTTTGGTCACCTTTGCAGTGACCAAAATATTGGTGACTTTTGTTTCCTTGCCATTGGAACAGATTGTCTCTCAATGCCAGGACAACTTGCAAAGCTTGGTTGTATATCCTGAAGTCGAGAGTTGCTGGCCCCTGCAAGCTTTTGTTGTGTGCGGTCCAGTGGGTCCAGTCCAGACTCGAGATCACCCCTGTGTGTGAGCGAACATGCACTGGCTCCCTGCTTGCCCGTACATGCGCATTGGCAAAGAACAGGAAAATGACAGTGGGCCATGCCACCTGCCTGCCAACTTGAATAATCTTTATTCTGTGGATGGGAAGAGCAAGGGTATTTCTGTGTGCATGCATGCAAACGTGAATGCATCCTTGAAACATGCCTGACACAATAACTTTTTCTAGTTTGGAACCCAAACAGGATCATGCCCCCTGTTTCATGACACACCATTTCATTTTGTTGCACATATCTGAAAGCCTTGTCCAGTAAGTCCAACCATTTATCTCAAATCTCAAGCTTCTGTGTGCACGCCGTGCCGCAGTGCATGGTGTCTTGGGGAATATGGGGACCTGCTGCTTCCCGGGCGCGGCGGTGCGCTGCAACAGGGCGAGGAGGCCCTGAGCGTCTCGGACTCCGAGATCGTCGACTTGCTGGAGGCCAACCTGAGCGACAGCCTTGCAGAGGTGGAGGTGCGCGAGTATGTGCTGACGGCCCTCATGAAGCTGTCTGCCAAGCTGCCGGGGCAGGTGGAGCGAATCAAGGGCATCGTTGGGCAGTACACAGGCAACCTGGTGCTGGAGATGCAGCAGCGTGCTTGCGAGTACAAGAAGCTGTTCAACTACGACCAGGTTGGCAGTGGGCCCTTAAGCCCGGGCCCTGTTTTGTGGAGTTTCTATTCTTCTTGCTTGTTTACTGAGCCCTTGTTTGGCAGACATCTGGTGTTCATGTGCGTTTGCTTGTGTTGCTGCACTCGGCATTTGGTATGAAAGCATGCATATGCAAGCACTTGCATGGATTTTTGCGATGTCACAGTGGGTGATTCATGGCATCTTTTCCACCCACTGGTGTGTGCTCCGAAGTCCTTGAAAATCTTGTGCTTCTTATTTCGTGTGCATGTCCTGAGCTGCTGTTATTTTTGTGCACTGGCGGTGCTGCCGCTAACCAAGTACATGACATGTGCAGATCCGTCCACAACTGCTTGAACAGATGCCTGCCCTGAATGAGAAAGAGTATGCAGCCAACCTGGGCCTTGAAGTGACCGCCAGCGATGCGAAGCAGGCAGCTGAAGACTCCAATCTTCCGAATGGTGCACCACCACAGCCAGCACAGGTTGGTGATGTACTGTGGGTGTCAGCTTGTGAACATTTGGCACACATAAGCTATTGACAATCACCGAAAATGGCCAACTTCTGCCCATTGCTTGCTATGCGATGACAAGTTTCAGTGCATGCACCATGCCTCTTTGGTGAAGCATGCATCTGTGTGCCCAGACATTTGTGCTGGCGCTCTGTGTTTTGTTTCCTTGGATGCTGCTTCTGATCCCATGCATTCCTACCTCCAAATTTCGAAATATTGTGTGGGCCCAAGGGAGCCGCTCTGGATCGGCGGCATGCAGTGGCCTGGGGCTATACCAGTTCGATGGTGTGGATGGGGATAAGGATCCATGCATATTCTCCTTGTGATTGCAGTTGCCATTGTGTGCCCAAGACAGGAGCATCCAGATGTGCCTGCTGGCCTTGGAATCCCTGTCGTACGCGTAGCAATGGGAACCATATGTGCCAGATGGTTGCATGCAGAATTGTTCACGTGTAGTTCAAACCACACGCAGTCCTTGCAGCAATACTCTCAGAGCTGGATTATTCTGTGCCTGTCACCACCTGCAAGGTGCACAGGCTTTGTTTGTAATGGCTGCTCTGAAGACTGTAGATGCAAGTGTAGATTTACTGGTGTGGTATAAACAGGGTGAAATTTGACCACTATTCATGTGCAGCACTGCAGATTCCCAGTGTCTTCCTCAAAGTGCAGGCAAACTGGGGAACAAAACTATAGGCTAGTGTTGTAAGCTCTTCTGGAACTTTGATTTTGCGTGTTTTGGGGTTTGGTTGATTGAACACTGTACACTGACTACTGATGAGCTTCGATTCTCATCAAAGAATCGATTGTCAGCAAAGACAATATTATTTCAAAAAGATGTGCACAGCATCTATTCGATGCCACAGAATGGAGCACGACATAGCCAGGATGCAAGCGAACTGTGTTTATCCTTTGCCCGACGTGCGCCATCTTCTGCTCACTCAACCAAATACCATCATTGCTGCGTCCCAGTTTCGAGCACTTTCGTTGCTATAACGGTGCAAAATAGGCAGCTCAAGCCACTGTCGTTTCACCCATTTCCAGGTCGACCTGCTTTCCGACTTGCTCGGCGATCAGCCAGCAACCGTCCAGGCCCGCGGCGGCCTGGAAGCTCTGCTGTTCGATCCCTCTCCGGCCAGCACACAGGCGCCCGCCGCAGGGGCCGCCACGGGCGCTGCTCCGCAGACCTCGTCAGCTGCGGTGGACCTGCTGGACCTCCTCTCAGACAGCACGCCGTCCCCGGCACAGCCCGAGAGGCCTGCCGTCATGCAGGTGCGCATCCGATATCCTAGTTTTGATGGCTACCATGGTGAATGGTTTATGTTGACTAACGTACTTCAAGCTCATTTATTGACGTTCAGTCTGTTTGATCGACATTCTTTCAAGTCCTTGGGCCGCATGCACCAAGCCGATGCCGGAGTGCTGCCCTTGGACTTGCACAGCCACACGACGGCTAGCCAGAGCCCCGAGTTGGATACTGATGGCCACTGATCAACATTCAACGAACAGTGCGCAGCACTACACTGCAATGAACCGGGGATCACTGCATGTTGGAACAGGGAAAAAACGCACATATACGATGCCAACAGCATAAAAACATATCGCAAACAAGCTTATTGAATCCGCTTGGATGCCTGCAGGATCCATTCCTTGCATTGGATGCGAGCCCGGGCCCGTCGGCCACTGCTGCACCTGGCGGTGCAGCCTTCCCCAGCATCGTTGCGGTCGAGAAGCACGGCTTCAAGGTCAGCTTCAGCTTCTCCAAGCCATCTGCCACTTCGCCGGCGACCGACATCGTCGCCACGTACTCGAACTCCACGCCCAACCCTATCACTAATTTCAGCCTCCAGGCAGCGGTGCCAAAGGTGGGGCGACGGCTGGCGTATGGACACTGGCATTTTTAGGCTATTGCATCTTGTTTTATTTTTTGTCCTTTTGGTATGAGGTGCAGCGTTTCATTACACTGTTCTGAGAATCGAAGAGCAGCGAGCCGCTGACTTGCCGGCACCAATGCTCACTGTGTCAAAGTTCAACAAGTTGCAACGCAAGTAGTGTGGCTTGTTCCACTGTTGGTAGCCTTGTCAGTGATGTCCACTGATGTTGCTTATTTTGCTCTCACAGGCATTTTGCTACTGGTAATAGTCGTGTTGGGGGTGATGTAGTAGTTACAGGATAGCACAAATGGTGCGATCGCCACTGGCGAGTGCTTTCATTCAGAGAGTTTGGCATGCCTTCATGCATGTGGCGGATTTGCCGATGTCCAGTCGTTGACAAGTGACTCTGCCCGATTGGCAACTCCCCTGCGATGCACTCGTGAAGAAGAAGCGAAAAACAAATGCTCTCACGCATGAGAGGGCAATGCCGCGCATCCAGCACCGAGCATCCAGCTAGGACGATCTGATCCGTGTCTCCCGCATTCGTCCGCAAGTGAATCAAACTGAGATTTCTTGGCGTTCATTATCTTTGCTCCCGCATTCGTGCGCAAGTGAATCAAATTGACATTTCCTGGCGCTTATTATCTTTGCTTTGTTGTGCATTGCTCTGAATGCCAATATAAAACAAACATGCTAAAAGTATAGTGAGCATGTGTGTTAACGTATTTGTTGGAACGTTCTGTTCGCTTCTCATCGCCGCTCTGTTCTTCCGTAGTACATGCATCTAAAGCTGGAATCGGCGAGCGGAACGAGTTTGCCTCCGAACGGCAACGGCACCGTGACCCAAGTGATTCATGTCAGCAACTCCATGAGGGATCAGGTGGGCTGGATGGGAAATTCGCGCTGGGAAAGCATGGGCCATTATGTCAATTAACTATTATTTATTAGCTATTATTTGTTATTATTACCTATTATTTATTACCTTCATTCCGTGTTTGAGATGTGCCCAACGGTTGAAAATTGTGTTTGCCACAGTGTTGCTAGTGCTGTGGTAGTACTGTACTATTCTGGTAATACAGTAGTGCTGTTTCACAATAGTGCCGTACTATTCTTGTGGAACGAAGGCGTTTTATCTGGGAGTAGTATGGCTATGTTTTGGTATTCTTTGTTAATCTAAATCTTTTTTGCCGATTTTCTGGAGGAACACACAATTTGGCAGCATTCTGGCTACATTTTGGAAACCCCACCAGTAATCGTGTTCAGCAGTATTCTGGAATAACAGCATGGAAAAAGCACTCGCGTCGAAGCGAGGCTCCTCCGCCTCACCTCCGACGTTCCCGCACTCAGCCAGTGACATGCCGTGTGTCTGTCGCAGGGCAAGCCCCTCGCCATGCGGTTGAAAATCAGCGCCAACGTGGGAGGCAGCCAAGTCGACGACCAGTGCCAGGTCAACAACTTCCCGCCGGGGCTGTCTTGAACGGAGGGCCGCGACCGCTGCGGAGGTCCTCACGTGCCGCCGCAAACGTATACGGCTGACTACGTCGTATACTACGTCGCCGTATACGGTTGCTGGGATGACTGGGATGACGGTTGCTGATTTGCTGCGCCTGCAATGGCTGTTGCAATTGCAATTGGAGCCCTTTCCCGGGAAAAGACGTATCAGGCTCAAGTGCTTCTACAGTACTTGTGGGTACAATTGCTTACAGTACTTCTGGTACCAGTGTTCCTGAAAGGGTGTTTTGGGCGACTCTTGTCCTGGGACTTGTAGATTTGAGAATCGACAAGTGAGCGCTCTATGGAGGTGCGTGCCCAGAGGATGGCCGAATCCAACTATGCACCGTTCCAGGCGCTCTGGGCCAGGTGGAGACAGAGAAGCAAAGTACTGTGCGAAGGTACTGGACAAGCACCTTTTGTAGGCAATTACTGTGCAAATTGCTGTGCCGCCGCTTTTATTGGTTGGGTACTAGGCTAGCAAGGCATTCGCCCCAAAGGGTGTTCGGAATTGTAGCATTGGTGCCGGGGTTGAGGGAACTGTAATCTGAGGCATTGTGTGGCTGCCTGTCGCTACTTTTCTCCTTTTTGTTCCAATTACAACGTGAAGTAGTTGCTGCCCGTTGCCATGCGGTGCATTCATCGAGTGAGTTTGACAAAGGCCTCGACAGTCGATCTGATGGCAACGATGGCACGGCTGTTGTCACGGAGCGCCCAAGCTCGTCCTCCGTCCTTGTTCAATGGCAGCCTCGCCTCTAGTTTTTCATTTAGTCCGGAATACTCAATCACAGATATTGTTTCGGAACTAATAGAGCTGCTGTGGCCTAGCAGCTGTTACGAACAGGGTAATAATGTGCACCTGCATCGATGGCGCTAGCGCTTTGGCACAGTTGTGGCCTCAAGGTCGCTGTGTGACAGTCCCCTGCCCGGTAATGTACTCCATGATACGACGTGCCCTCCTTCCTTTCATTCTCTTCATCTTTGCTCTCGTTGACAGCTGTGAACCCGTGGATTAGCGCCACCAGAGCTACACATTCAAGACACGACGGCATCAACACAGCACTCAATTAATTGAGTGTCCAGAGTGCTGAATAGTCACGGACCCCGGCTCCGAAAACCACATCTTCAGCATCATCTGCTCCACCAGACGCGCTGAATGGAGAGCATCAGCGCCACCACAGCTTCACCCTGAAGACGGGTTCCGGGGCTCACCTTCTGGCGTGTTCCTGCCGCGGCCTGCCCCCCCGGC